CCGGTTATGGCGAACCGCTCAAAACAGGCGAGACTAGCAGTTCAGGTGGGCTGCATCAAACTCCCACTTGGTCAAACCTTCAGATAGTTAGGACCAAAGCCACAATCCCCCGCCAATCCTCTTCAATAGGATGGCGGGACCCCCACTGTCATGTTAACGGTCACCTCCGACAAACCAACTTACCAGTCCTCTTCAATAGGATGGTAGGTCCATAGAGTTGCTCAAATCGCAATAAACTCCCACTGTCATGTTAACACTACACCTCTGACAAAATCAACTTACCAATCCTCTTCAAAAGGATGGTAGGTCCTCAAAGTCGCTCCGATCGCGGCAATTCCTATCACGTTAACGATTACCTCTGATAGCCGACACCGTCATTCCCGCAAATGACGTTGTCCGATCAGTCGTCATACTCATACGTCCCTGAACGATTTGATTCTCCCAGCACCGTCTTTTCCATGAAAGGCGTTGTTGTTTGATAGTAGCCTACTAGGTGATGTGCTGCTATTTCAGGGTTCGTCTTTGCCCCAAGAGAAGACAAATCAGGGTTCGTCTTCATCTTTGCCCTAAGAGAAGACAAGTTTCCCCCTTATCCTCCAACCGGTGCATGAGGCTAAACTGTTCACTTATACTCCGACTGGTGCATGAGTCTAAACTGCCCCCCTTATACTCCAACTGGTGCATGAGTCTAAACTGCTCCCTACACTCTTAATCCAAATGCCTCGAAAGGCTAAGGATAGAGGAGAAATTTTAGCATTGAGCCTAAGAGAAACTCCTCGACAACTTACCATGCTAAGGGCAAGAGCATGGCTAGTCCAACTCAAACGGCAGTTGGTAAAGACAAATCAAGTCCGTTGATAGCTGAGGGTTTGCTCAAAATCCTAGAAGGCGATCATCAGCTGCGAGTGAAGAGCAGGGATCACTTTACGGGACTTCATATCCAAAGTGTTCCAGACCCCATGCGGCCTGATTCAGGTCTGAAAACTTTGGAGGGGGTTTTGTAGGCAATAAAAATTGCCTTTAAATCCTTATCAGAGAAGTTCAGAACAAAACTGCTAAAACCTCGCCCGAAATAGCAGAAAAAGGGGAAAACGCAGATATCTCCCAAACCGTAAGGAATTTGGCAAAACGGAGGAAGCGAACCGAAGCCTTCGGCTCGGTTCGGATGGCTCCATCTCGTCGAGATAGGCGATTTTTATATATAATTCGTCCAATTCCGACTTACGGTTTGAAAGTTACGGCCTATTCTTCGATCTATGCTATAGTGCTCACCTAACGGCTTGAAGATCGCCTGCAGACCCAGGTTCGTTTGCAGTCCCCAGCTTCGCCTGCAGTTACAAATCCGCCTGCAGACCCAAATTCGCCTGCAGTCCCAAATCCGCCTGCAGACCCAAGTCTGCCTGCTCGCCTGCAGCTCGAAATTCGCCTGCACGATCAAGTTCGCCTGCAGACCCAAGTCTGCCTGCTGTTCTGAGTTTGCCTGCAGACCCAGCTCGCCCCACAGACCCAAGCTGCAGACTCGTCAGCTTGCTGTCAACTGCCCACTTAGAGTATGAGAACAGTTACATCAGTGGTCAAATCCCACAAATCAAGGGAGATGGCACAGTACTCCAAGACCGTCGCCAGGCCGCTCACAGTACGAATGACTGGGCAGGTGTCAAGTCGACCTGAACATTCATAAATGCAGCTCACCTCGGCTGTCTGAGTCAAGGGCCGAATCCGCCAGCATTCGTTAAGCTATCCAAGCCCACTCGAATACCAAGAACCCGCTTTCCTACCTCTCTCGACCTGAAGAGGGAAGACACGGTACTCCAGGCCCGCCGAATAGCCGCCCACAGTACAAGTGAGCAGACAGGTGCCAAATCAACCTGCACCCTCATAAATGCGACTCACCTCACCACCGGCGCTCGGTGGTTGGTCAGATCCATTCGAGTACCTGACAGCCGTTGTCACACGTACGAGGATAGGCCTTCCCATTCCTATGTGATATGACATAAAGCACAATCCCTCGAATGACCATTCATATTGCTAGGGCGGCAGGCTCTCTCACCTCCATCAGTGGTCAAATCCCACGAATCAAGGGATGGCCCATGCCATCCCTTGCCTGTTAAAACCCATCTTCAGCAGCATGAAGAAGGGGGGATTGGCTATCGCATATTCGGCTGGCTAATCTCCCAAAGGTTGAACCTGGACCTTTGCCAAAGGCTCCCTTATTTGAGAACTGAAGCTCCGGCAGCAACTTCGATCGGATCGTCCAAGGGAAGCAGACTCGGCACGAGCACCGAGCGAGGCGTCCTATCGCCACCTAAAGTCCCCACAGAGGAACCTACGTTAAACAAGGAGGGCATTCCCTCCGCTTCTGTTGTAAACATTTGATTTATTAGTTTGTAATAAGCCTTCTTATCAATACAAACGAAGTTCCCTGTTTTCGGGAGATCAAAATTTACACCTACAGAGGCTTATTAGGAATCAGAAGGTATTCCCATCCATAACCGGAGAATATGTTTTTTCATAGTCTATTCCCGGTCTTTGGGAAAAACCTTGTGCTACAAGCCGTGCTTTGTAGCGCACAACCTCGTTGTGTTCATTTATTTTTCTGATGAAGACCCACTTATATCCCACAGTTTTTACACCTTTAGGTGTTTGGACTACTGGTCCAAAGACTTCACGTTTCAATAGTGAGTCCAGCTCTACTCCTATTGCCTCGTTCCACTTTGGCCAATCGTCTCTGCGTTTACATTCCGCTAGAGACCGTGGTTCGATGTCATCATCGTATTCAGTGACGTGAACGGCAATATCGAACGCAAAGTCGTCGTCGACGACTGTGCTTTTTCTGTCCAGTACCTCCTCAGTACGTACAAAATTTAATGATGTTTCTCCTATTTGTTCCTCTTCAGGGGAATCTAGGAGGGGAGAGGAAGCTGGTCTGAGCTCAGTATCCTGTGTTGGGTTCATTTTTATTTCTCCAGGATTTTTTCTTTTACGAGGGACTTTGTCCTTCGAACCTGGTGGGCGTCCTCTTTTCAATTGAGGTACAGCCATTTCTGCTGCCGGCGGATTGCATCCATCTTTAGGGATGTCAATCCTAGCTGGCGTGTTGACAGCATGGACGTGTGATCTGACAATCTTCTGATTATCAGTGAATTTATCCGGAAGTAAATGTACTGTATTCTGAAGATGAAGAATCTTTAGGATCTCATCTTCACATTGACTAGTACGCGGATCATAATGAGACAAAGTCTTGGTGTTCCAAGAAATGGTCTTAGAAGCGTCAGGCTTCCTGGACTGTGTGCCAAGTTTAGGAAATGAATCCTCAACAAATTCACAATCATCAAGACGTGCTTTAAATGCGTCACCCGTCTGGGGTTCAAGGTATCTTATTATAGAGGGCGAATCAAACCCTATATAGATACCCAAACGACGCTGTGGACCCATTTTGGTCCTTTGTGGAGGAGCAATTGGGACGTAAACTGCACAACCAAACACTCTCAAATGTGAGATATTCGGAGGTGCACCATAAGCAAGCTGCATTGGTGACAAAATATGGCCACCAGAGGGCCGTATTCTGATAAGCGATGCGGCATGCAATATGGCATGACCCCAAGCCTCAACAGGCAACTGTGATTGCATCAACAATGGACGAGCAATCCATTGCAATCTCTTAATTAGAGATTCTGCTAACCCGTTCTGGGTGTGAACATGTGCTACAGGATGTTCAACTTCGATGCCAGTTGCTAGGCAATAGTCTTGAAAGACTTGTGAAGTGAATTCTCCCGCATTATCAAGACGTAATTTCTTGATTTGATTATCGGGGAAATGAGCCCGCAACTTAATAATTTGTGCCAATAGCTTTGAAAAAGCTAAGTTGCGGGTGGACAAAAGGCACACGTAAGACCACTTGGTTGATGCATCTATAAGTACCATAAAGTACCTAAATGGTCCACTTGCGGGGTGAATAGGCCCACAAATATCGCCATGTATTCTCTCCAAGAAGCTAGGAGACTCTAATCCCACTTTCAGAAGGGAAGGTCTCATGATCAGTTTACCTTGAAAACAAGATAGACATGAGTAATCACTCTTCTGAAGAATCTTCAGGTTCTTCAGGTTGTGTCCACTTGATTGGCTCATGATGCGGTGCATCATTGCTGATCCTGGGTGACCCAGTCTGTTATGCCAAAGTTTAAATTTCGGCAAAGAATGGCACTTCTGGTGCACAATCATGTTAGCTTCTACTGGTTGAATATATGTATGATAGAGACCCGACGGGAGTCCATTGAATCGTTCTAAGATAGTTTTTGAACCATCTTTTTGACGAGTTACATACAAATACTCATCCTCATTTATTTCATTGGTTTCTAAGTGATATCCGTTTAAACGAATATCCTTGAAACTTATGAGGTTTCTATTAGATTTCGGAGAGAATAATGCATCTTTTATTATTAGTCTCGTTTTATTTGGGAGCAATATCATTGCTTCACCAAATCCTTCTATTATATTAGATAGTCCTGAAATCGTAATTACAGGATCATCATAATCATATAAGCTATTGAAATAGCTTCTTTCACGAAGGATTGTGTGCGTCGAGGCACTGTCCACAAGGCACTCACACTTCATCTCTAGATCAAAGATCTAGGGACGATCGATACTAAAGATCCGTAGAACGCTGCCTCCTTGCGATGATCCGTCGAATGCTCCCGCTGCAACGAACCAGATCTCAATGCGCAAAAGAGGAAGGAAATATATATTTTTTATGGCTCAGGGATTCAAGAACACTTCGTACTGATAACGTGTTTGAAACCATTACCTAGGCCAAAGGCCTATGATGTATATTTATAGATAGTCAATATGAATAGGTTGAGTACCCAAAAGTCACCTCCATTTAATGGGGTATTACACCATCATAATGGGGGTGTGAATGGAGGGATAATGAGGGGGAGGCCAAATGCCTCCCTCATCTCATAATACCCATTTATTTTTTTTACGGAATGGTTTCCAAATAGTCGTGGGAACAAACTATTTGAGGTCGCCAAAATACTGACGAGAAGTTCGACGCACCACCGCATCAACTTTTCACAAAAACCCCTTGAGAACTGTTTTCTTTGCGACAAATTTTGGGAGAGCAGAGAGAGAAAGAGAGAGGGGTCCAGTGGCAACTCTCCCTGACGCAGTGATTCTCGTTACCATCGTCGCTTGTCTGCTCGATTTCCTGGAAAGATATCTGCTATCGCTCGCTTTAATCTCGTAAGTAATTTGTGGGTTTTCTTAAAGTTTCAATTTTGGGACATGGGTTATAAATTATTTAGGTTTTTTCCCCTGCCCCCCCAAGATTGTTGTGGCTATGAAGGGAGAGCCCTTGAAGATCATGATATCTGGGGCTCCTGCATCCGCGTAGGGAACCTAATGTTAGTTCGTCACAAAAAAGGTAAGTTAAAGCTGTGCTTATTTTATTGATTTAGACCAGTTTGTTAGCTTTTGAGATATTACAATGACATATATAGATAGATACTATTAAAAAAAGCACATGGTAACTTGTTTCCACATTATCACACAATCATATGAAATATGTTGCTAAATAAAATTAGTTTTAAAGTGCCCATTTACCTTTTCCTTAATCTTTATTAGTTTAAGGTTCTAAGCTGAGGTCTTTCCTTTCTCAGAATCCTATTGAATGTAAATACTACTTTGAGCTTGGAAGAGTTATCTTAATGAATTATATCTCTAATTTGATTATTTCAATTTTTTCATACTCATACAAGGAGCACTGATTATTAATTAAATTAGTAAAAGCTTTAATAAGTTTGTAATGTGAATAATTTCTATGTCAATTGAAGCTTTCATTCTATTTCAGGGTGAGAAGCTCTTATTTAATTGAGACTTTTAATTAGATTAGAAGTTCTAAATTGATCGTTTAAATTAAGTAGAAGTGTAGACTATGACTAACATACCCTTGACTACCATTTGAGATACTCTCCAAAAATTATAAAAACCTTAAAAATTGAGAAAATATAATCAGGACCCCTAATTATACAAGAATTTCGGAAAATGCTTAAGACCTGAGAGTGTTTACTATGATTTTTTTGTTGGTTGTTAAGCATTTATGATGTGTTTTTGTTGGGAAATTATGATGATATTATTTGATAATGGTGATGTTATATTTGAAAATTGTGATGATTTTATTTATTAAACTCATTATGAATATTTTTTATATATTTAATGTTAAATCACTAATAAAAAAGAAATTCGATGTATATGATAAGAGGGATCACATATTTCATCTTGTGTATACTCTTCATTTGATTAGAGGTTTAAATGTTTACTGGTGTCAGATGCAAATGGACATGCTCCAATTTTCATTTCTGGGAAGTTTCCTCTGTAACATAGCTACATATAGGTATTAGTTTACTGGTCTGGACACCATTGTGTCTATGAGCAGGATAAATAGCATTTTCTTGTTGATGGTGTTGTGGATTTTTTGATGTCATATGTTCACTGAAATTTACTGGCCTGGACACCATTTTTTATTTGTACTTAGTTCTTGATCCAGTGTTTTGCCACATTCAGGAAGGGAGGGAGGGACTTGATTAATGGAAGAGTGCCATTTTTTATTTGAGGGAAGGGATATCCATGCTTTGGTGTCGGTTTTTTATTAATTTGGCTTATCTGTTGGTTTTGTTCTCTATACAGTGCAGTAACCTCTCTGCATCTGAGCTTTTTGCTGATACGAGGAATCATCCTAATCAGATGTTGTCGATTGCATTGGAAACTGAAACTATGGTGCTTTGTTTTGAGCAAACATCATTGGCGCTTCAGTTGCTACATTTATGACAGGATGCACATGATTGAGCTTAAATTCGTATCTTCTTTCAATTTCAGGCTAATGGGATTGCTGCAATGGAAGATGTGTTTGTTGAGATAAAACGTGAACTTACTATAACCAGAAGGCTTTTTCTGGTACAAGTCCATATTAAATTTCAATATTTGATGTTGTTCTCATGAATTAGTATTTTGATGTGTCCCTGATAATGTTAATCTTTAAGAGGTAGCTTGCTTACAATTCCCTTAATTTTGATAGTAGTCTCCCACAGATTTTTCAAAACCTCTTTGATTAGTCTTTCCACTATAAGTTTCGACCAACGATCCTTTAAGATGAGAGGTCAAGCAAATATAAGTGATATCAACATCTCTAAAAGGTCCTAAGAAAGTTCATAGTGGAGGAGGAGGAGTAAACTATTTGTCGGGAAAGAGCGTTATATACGTAATAATTACCTTGGACTCAAAAGCCTTAAAATTTCATCCCACAACCATTGTATCTCTTTTGGTATCTTTTCTTATCCTTCCTTTAGTTGCATAATTCAAAGTTCGCGTTCCCTACCCCAAAAAGTCTGACAATTTGCTCGCAGCTCTGCTGAACTGCTTAGTCACTGCATCTTTTGTAGAGATTTGCTCAAGGCTTTATTTGCTGCACCTTTTGAAACTGTCGATACTCCTTGCATAGTTGCATGTCAATAAACAGGACAAAAGGAATACAATGTTCCCTTCCATCCCTTTCCTATAAACCTCTACAACCAGTGTTTCATCTTACAATTCTTACCCATCTCACAAAAAAATGGCCAAGATTCATGTACCAATCAAATCCGAGATATCAGCAAGAAGAAGAAAAATTCACGAAAGAAGAAGACTACCTCCCATCTCCCTATCCTTCTGCAGGATGTGATCTTTTTTAGCATCTTCGTATATCTCCCCGCCTCCTTCCTTCTTTGCTCCCTTAGCCGCTCTTCTCTTCAAATTTGTAGATAATCTTCACTTTCCCCGCAGCCATCCTGCTCTAGGTTCTCACCATTTCCTTTTCTTCGCCGTTAATTGGTTCACTAACATGGAACTGACATTCTTTGGTCTTCAGATCAATCGTGGTCCTCATTCCCGCAACCATATCACTCTTCACGAAAGCTTTATAGTTTGGATCCCCCTTTCTTAGTGTCATCCATGCATCCTGCAATGGTCTCCTACTCTTATCTACTCATATGGTTCGGAGGGTTGTAATAACCAATCTAGTCACAAAGCAATGGCGATTTCTTCCCAAACCCCTAACTGGACACATAATCTTCATGAACCTCTATGGACACTCGCCCAACTTGGTAATGCCTTTATGGTCTTACCTTTAATCCCTCTTTGGACCAGTACAAGGTGGTTCACTTGTTGCTGGATTTTGCAGGTTCGATATTGTGTGAGGTCCTCACATTCGGATCATCGAATTGCTATTGGAGGACAGTTGGTGTACTCAAGCCTACTAGTCCTGGTGCCAGCATCAATGTCAATGATTAGCCAGTAAGGATCGGTCAAATCTTATACTGAGTTGATTGGCATTCTAGTACATGGCATACTACTACTGGCTTCGACCCTTCAGAGAACCATAATGTCTATGGATGTGAGAAAAGAGGAGTTCCGAAGGGTGAAACGACTGGCATATGCCAAGGACTTATGTTGGCCCTTTGAGTTAGGTGGACATATATAGCATTGCTTATTTTTGATCAAGTTATGGTTGATATTTGAGTTTTAGAGGAAGGGGAGGTTTGGGTGAAGATTGAAGAAGCATGGTACTATGCACAATTGGTTAATGAAGTAATCGGGGCCCCATGGATTTGCAATGAAGTTTGAGCTGAGTTCTTCCCTTCATGTTGGGAAGGTAATCATCTTCAAGTCTGAGAACAGACTGTTTAAGTATGATGTTGAAGATGACTGTTTTACAGTGGTGAAGACCCATTACGGTTATCTAGGGATGACGAACTGCTACTATAAGTAATCCTTGTGCTCATGTGGATAGCCTTGTATGGCCATGAAAAAATTAAATGAAGTCTGAATTATGAAATAATGTAAGTGTCTAATAAAATAGGTGGTAAGAGTAATATTTCTAATAAAATAAGTAATCCTTTTATAAATGAAAACCCATTATGGTTATCTAGGGATGACAAACTGCTATTATAAGTAATCCTTGTGCTCATGTGGATAGCCTTGTATGGCCATGAAAAAATAAATGAAGTTTGATTTATGAAATAATGTGAGTGTCTAATAAAATAGGGATGAATTCCATTTGGTTGACTTCTGTCTGTTGAAAACCTTTCTTCTAATGTAAATCCTTTTATAAAATTCTAAATTAAGCAAGACAATGCCCTCAATTTTTGTCATCCTTTGTTTTCTTGTCACAGTGAAGATAAGTTGTGTATTGATAATCATCCTTTGTTTTCTTCAGCTTAGTTTTATTTGTCACAAAGTGGTATTCTTTGCGAATTTTGGTCTACCATTTGAAGGCATGCAGAGAAATATTCCTTGTTACATTTTTGTAGCGATACCTCTGTACTTTTAAGTTGTTGTTATTATTATGTTTCCCTAATATTTAAAATCTCATTCAGGAATCAAAATGGTTCTCATGGAAGCAATCTTAGCAGAATCTGTCCTTCACCAAAGGCTCTAATCTCCTATTTACTGTTGAAACAGAAAAAATGCTATATCATCAGGAAATAAGGAATAAAGGATTGCTTATTTGAGCATATGTTGTTGCTGATAGCAGTTTATGTATTCATAATAGTATTTTGCATTAAAATGGCATCTTTCAGATTTAGAATCTAGCAGATTTTATTCTGTTTGGGCCATGTTTTTCTCTTTGCCAATTGATCTCGGTATTGTAGGCTGCTGCTGTTGCACTCCATTGAGGTTATAAGTTGGATCTAATATTTTCTTTATTTCGGACTCTTTTCTGTTAAAGTGGTGACTAATGAAGTCTTTATTTCGTGTGTTTGCAGTTCTGTACTTAACTAATTTTTGGCCCTTTTAGGCACTGTTTGACAACCAAAAAAAGTGTCTTAGATAAGAGCTTTTGTCTTATTGACTTGGTCAATAAGCTAGTAGAGCTGTTTGGTGACCAAAAATAGGAGGAGATTATATTGGAGATTGTGTCTTTTACAAGTAGCTTTTGAAAAGCTATCTCAGCTAGCGTTTATCTTTGAGAAGAAGCTGTCAATTAAAATTCTTCCGTTTATACCCCTAATAATTAGGCCAACCGCACCTAAAAAACCCCTCTTTATTATTTCAGCGTGAAACCCTTCTGCCGTCAACAAAAAAATCCATCAAGGAGGAATCGCGATTCTCCTGAAGCCCGCGCTCTCTCCCCGATCCAATCACCGCCGCTCTCACCCCGATCCGATCACCGCCGCCGATCCGATCCGCTCCGATTGACGACGATTCGATCACCGCGCTCGATCGACGTCGATCCGATCACCGCCGCTCTCTCCACGTAAGCTAGAAAATCTCCTCACTTTTCTTCGATTGTGCCTTATTTTGTGTTTTCTAGTTTCAAAATCTCCTCACTTTTCTTCGATCGTGTCTTATTTTTTGCCGGGTATAGATCTGAGTCTCTAATCCAGTCATGACCGGGTATATATGTGCCATCTAATTGACAGTCTATTACTCTGAAAACTTAAAAAGCAAACTACACTATTCTATATAATGGAATGAATCAGCTGCAGGACCCAAGGAATGGAATGGAGGTGCAAATGTCGACCCAATTAAGATAAAAGTAAAGTTTGGCAAAATGCATCAAAATGGATGTCTGTAGACAAAATGCCTGGTTTGTTAGTCTTATGAAGAGGATGACTAGATATCTGGCTTGTCATTGTATTCATGACAAAGAAGTTTTAATTCAAGGATTTATTACGTGGGTTACAATTTGTCATTTTTAAATTTGTCATTTTAAATTATAATCTTTCATCTGTTCCTACAACTTTTCTTTGAAAAAAAATATTATACATCTCTAAGAATTTTGCATTTGATTTTCGGACATTCTAAGAATTATGCATATCTGAAAATTTCCATCTTCTAAGAATTTTGCATATCTGAAAATTTTTATCGTATCATGGGTGTTTTGTTAAGATCCTTTCAAAGAGCCGGGGCATTAAAAGCTTTTTATACATTTACAGAAGTTTCCATGATGAATAAATTTTTTTGGCTATGAGTCCTCTTTGGCTTAGAGGTTCCACATGCATTCTTTTACTAAGTTAGGATCCATGCTAGACTCTGATTTTCTTCAGGAATATTTCAGCTTCTTCATGGGATTAAAACTCTAAAAATATTTTTCTATCACATCTGTAGCGGAAGTTTGATCTCTTCACTCTATTAGACACTTCAATCATAATATTTGTATTCACTTAACAATTGTGATTTTCACTAAGTGATAAATAAAAAAAATACAGTGATTCACGGAAGATGAGAGTGTTAGTTAAATTGATATTATTATGGCCGCATTTGCATTGCATAATTATATTCGCATTAACTCAGTCGATGATCCGTTGTTTACAGTGTTAGAACAACAACCAAATTATGTACCCGAAGATGAAACTCAAGATGAACTCGAGGATCTTGATGAGAATAGTAATTTTTCAAGAGGGACAACTTCTGAAATGAGGGAAGTTCGTGATAACATTGCTCGCTTATTATGGGAGTCAATGTGATAAAATACTTTCAAGAGGGACAACTTCTGAAATGAGGGAAGTTCGTGATTTTATTACCTCTTTACTAAGATTCAAGGTGCTAGTTGCGTTTTTCTTTTGTCCATTTTTGTTTTATAAATGTCAGGTTTTAGTAGTATTCACGAATTCTATAGAACGAAATTATTTTTCTATTTTAACTAATATTTTACAAGTATTATGTAACTTTCCTTAATTATACATTGATCAAATGCTTTCTTGTTAAAAGAATGTTGTCTTTCCATATATCTGCTCACTGATCTCTTCACTTTAACATTGCCATCTCCAGTCTGTTGTTGTAATGGATTATTCTTTACTGGTGGGAGTTGATGAAGTGAAGCATGAACTTGTTTTGGGAATTATTGATGTAATGGATTATTCTTTACTGGTGGGAGTTGATGAAGTGAAGCATGAACTTGTTTTGGGAATTATTGATTTCATGAGGCAGTATACGTGGGACAAGCATCTGGAGAATTGGGTTAAAGCGTCAGGTATTTTTGATGGACCAAAGAATGTTGCTCCTACTGTGATTTCACCCAAACAATACAAGAAGCGTTTCAGGAAGGCCATGACTGAATATGCAACATCTTTTGCTTATCCCTTCATAATTTTTTTATTCTTTGATGAAGACATGAAGATCAATGTGTTGCTGCATAGTTTATATCAACGCTGGCTCTTTTTCTTTTTTGAAATATTTTTTGTTGAAGTTTCACGCATTAAGAAATCTCGTCTGTGTACATTTTCTTACTTTTATAGTGATAAAGATGAGGAATGAAAATAGGCAAAAAGATTTAAAAACATAGGTTTGAAGGTGTATATTTGAATCATAGGGTCAAATTGTATGGATAACTGAAGACTGAATAAGTTTATGAAACGATGTTTTTCTTGTTTTATATTATAGGTGTATGTTTCTAGTTATTTACTATAATTTCTATTGTGAAAGAAACTGTTTTGTTTGTAAATTTTGAGCACATAACATGTATTAAACTGCTCAGTTGTATTTTCTATGGCCTCAGGTTTAGATTATAAAAGATTATACTTTGTTTGCTGAGTTTTTTTTTCATTTGTATTGATTTTCAAATAATTGGCAAATACTTTTGACAATACGATGTTTTTTTCATTTGTTTCAAGGGAACTTCATTAAACAGTGTTCAAATTTTGTGTAGCTGATCATCGGTTAAATATCCTCTGTAAATTTAATTTTATGATCAATCAAATTATGTATCAGAAAGGCATATATTGGTTTCCCTAATTTTAATCTTTAAAAAATGCAATCAGAAGCTTGCATAATCCATCTTATTCAAAGAATCTATATTCCATAATTGCCTACAGTATTAGATGTCGTATTTACTGTTTTCTTCCAATTAACCTCTCAATGTTTGTGTATTTTTCATAATGTTTTCCCTTATTATGTGATGAAGGTTATTATTTTTATCACGTACATTGCACGTGCAATCCAACTAGTAAATAAATAAATAAATGAGTGTTGAGTAATTCTAATTTTATATCAATAATATTGCATGTTCTTTTTAGTCATTTTCAAATTTCAGCTAGTTGTACAGCTACTTTTGCCAAACAGATCTACTTCAATCAGCTAGCTACACAGCTATCAGCTTTCAGCTATAATTTCACAGCTTTCAGCTAGCTTAACAGCTTTTAGCTATAATCTCGTAGCTTTCAGCTAGTTTTGCCAAACAGAGCCTTAATATAAAAGCCTGTATGTTGTTCTTGAAAATGATTATGTTTATTACAATTTTGACTACGTAGACAACTTTATTGATCTACAAGCATATAGATGTTATTTTTTGGCGTGGACGGTAAGGAAAGTAACTATTCTTTAGGATATGTAGTTACCAGGATACATGGATGTTTTTATTTGGCTGTGACCTTTGCTATTGATTGATCCTATTTTATTACTTTATACTTCACAACTACAAAGGGTATCATAGTCATTAAGACAACTCTTATTAGAGCTGAGTTAAAGAAAATATTCATTTGGCTGAACCCAAGAGTCGGCATTAAAGGTTTTCCTGCTGTTGCTCTTGCTTTTTACATTTTCACATATTGTTCTTCTCAGAATGGCCCTTATAGTTTGCTGACCCATTTGCATGCTATACACTGTGTTCATGATTTTCTCGCTGGATCAGAAAAGAAAAAAGAAAAAGAAATTAAAATCAAACAGTTCGTAAATGCATTATCAGTATGAAGTGGTGCATATTGCTGCTGGAGATTTTCTAATTTACTAAGAGCAGAAATTGCAGCTGAAAATGGCAAGTGGGTCAAAGACCACATGGAGAAGGGGATATTGGCACTTGATGAAATTGTCATCATGGTATAAGATTTATACTATCGTTCCTGCTTATACTCTCACAGCTGCCATTTTACTATCCTGATGAAATTGTCATATTAGGCTTGGTTGTTTGAGATAATAAAGGAGGGACTTCTACAAGAAGATGCTCAAGAAAATGGATGTGAGGTATTCTTCATACATCAGTTTATGCATATATGAATTCTTGTGCAATTAGTACAAGTCTTTGAAGATATTCTTGTTGAAAGAGTATGTGGCAGAAAACTTGATCCTGTAATGGAAAAATATACCATCTAAGGTATTCCCAACCTGAAAATGAAGAAATTGCTACAATACTGAGCCAACGCTTTGATGATAAGAAGAAGAAGGTTTTTCAATTCACTTAAGTAGTGCCTTCCATTATAAAATCTTTACTTGATGTTATTCATATAATAGTTCACCAAAATCTTTACTTGAAGATAACTCACTAATGTATTGCATCTTTCTTTTTATTTTTCTCAGTTAAGTTGTGATTGCAGGCTTATCATAAGAATGTTGATGTAGGTGAAGATTTCATATACAAGGTGCATGGATCCATAGACTTTATCATTCTTTAACTAATCGAGTCCTTGTGATCTCGAAATGGTGCATTTATTTTAGTTCCATCTTTTATCTGCAAAAAATAGTGTAGTAGAAATGAGAATGTCACGATGTATGAGTGGATATCCTCTAAGAGATAGGATAAGAAATGAAGCGTTAGTTCTATGTTGCTCGGGTAAAATCTGAGCAATCATTTGAAATGGTTTGCTCAAATACAACAAATTTCATTGCATGCACCGATTAGGAGAAGTGATAAGATTATAGTTCATGGATAAAAACAGAGGCCTAAGAGAATTTGTTTAGACAATATTAAGAAAGATATGATAGTGACTTGTTTAGAGGAGATAACCCGAAAAAAAAAATTAGTGAAAGACTAGAATTCATGTAGCAGACGCGAAATATTTGGGAGAAATGCTGTGTTGTTATTGTTGTAAGGCTCAAGAAAGGTGTCCTTTTTTGCTTCGTTAATTTGTTTGTCATTAATCATTCAGTATCGTGTTTCATGTTCTTCGAATCCATCTTTTATGTCTGTCATAGTAGGGTGGTGTACCTAGACTATGTTATGTCCTATGCTTGAGATGTTTTTGTGTTACCCTACACTGGTTTTTTTGGACTTTGAGTTTAATTAATCTCTTATTAGTGAAGCAAGGGTGGATTAATCAGCCTGACTTTTCCTCGAGAAAAAGAAATCGCAAGCTGGTTTGCAGTTCTGTTACATGATTAGTATCATTTCTTGATTATTATCATTTTTTAGTGAACATGTAAAATTATGAATGGTGGAAGAATGACGGCCTTTCTTTTTCAGTGTGTCAACTAATCCTTGTGCTTATTTCTATTTTAAGATGTCCCATCTTTTGAGACTGGTGAGTGCAAGTTTCTGAGGGCTAGCGCACTCTAGGCTGATTGGTAGTCAAATTGTTGGAGGCTTACAACTAATTTTACATTGAGGAGATTTATATTAGTTTCAACTGAAATCACACTGTAAAGGGGGGTTTGCCAACAACTTAGTGAATTTAGCAGACAATAATCATACTTTGTACTAATCTTACTCATTTTACAGAATTTGAAAAAATTATAATATTTTCTTCATGTACGGGTGACTTCAAGGATGATATCTTAATTAAATTCTGGATGCTCTACATGTGCTGTGGGAAGAATCTGTCATTTTTTTTTATTTTTTACTTCTAGGAGTTGAACTAGCTTGTTGTCTATGATTTGGACAGGGAGATGGATAGTCGAATTAGTATTCAAAGTCTCTTCTAAGCTTAAGTTATTTTAATTATTGGCTATTTTTATTGGCTTCGCCTTTTGCTTTTTTCCTTTTCTTCTAATATAAAATTGGGAATAAATTTGGGTTTTCATCTGTGAGGGGTGGGCAGGGAGATGAATCTAAATTAAATTGATTGGGCTTTAGTTATGACTTTGCAGTTTGAAGGTTCAGCTTTCAGACCTGATTCTTACTTGTATAGTCTGATAAATTTGAAGAAACTGAAATAATAAAAAATGATTTAAAAAATTTAATGTTTAAGATAAAGAGGGATAACATACTTCAACTTATATATACTCTTGATGTGATTATATGTTTTTTTTGGGTATCAGATAGAAATGAACATACATATCAGGTATGTTACTTTGCTTTCTTATCTGTGGGTTTGTTCTTTATACAGTGCAATAACCTCTCTGCAGCTGAGCTTTTTGCTGATACTAGGAATCATCCTAATCAGAATGTTGTAGATTTCATTTGAAACTGAATGTGGTGCTTTGTTTTGTGCAAATGTCATTGGTGTTTCAGTTTCTACATTTATGACATGATGCACACACCACACAGTTTGAGCTTAGATTTGTACCTTATTTCAGTCTCAGGTCAATGGGAATGCTCCAAAGGAAGATGTGTTTGTTGAGATAGACTGTGCACTGCCCTTAGTTCTTGAGAAGTCAGAGCTCAATTTACCATCAATGGCTGCTTATGTAGCTAGTTAGAAAGCATTGGCGTCAGCATATTTGGCACTCAGTTATAATCATATTTCAAGCATGCCGGTAAGATGGTTTTGTAGTTATTTGTCATTAGCTTAGTCTCTTATATTGCATAATAGCTCCTTGTACCTGCATTACTAAGAAGTTCATAATATTTTCAACTGCATTATCAGTTTCTTCAGATTTTTTTTCCCAGAAGTTTGTGGTTCCGTACAAGAAATCTTGTCACAGACTGTAAACTTAGAAAAAATTCTTTTAATGATACAAGTCATTAGTTTCTTAGCGCTTACAGAGTCTGAGAATATTTTTATCTTCAAACTAGAAATGCAAGTTTTTCTCAGATGTGCCAAACTATGAGATGTGGTTTCTATTTCCATTTGATAGCAGCGTGTGTGGGGGTTTGCATACATACATGATAGAATTTTGATTGCTTCTGGAAGGATTCGAAGTCAGATCCTTCCTGTTCAAATTTGATATTCCCAAAAAAAAATCTTAAGTCAAGGAACAATCCCTCAAGTTATTTTTTGGCCCCCGGGGTGGGGGGGGGGGTGGGGGTGGGGC